TCATGCGTTACAGCTTCCCAAATAAACCGTAGTTAAGATTTTGAACTCTCATAAAAACACATGCTCCCCTGCACATCCCTTAGGGGGCATCTCAAAACAGGATAGGAAATCAAAGTTAGATTCCTTTGATAAGAAAGTTGTCAGGGACGTGGTTCGGCGGTTAACACGAGAAAATGAATTTATTTCAACACGAAAACTAAAACAAATTCTCCTTACAGAGCATGACCTAGATATTTCCAAATGGACCATTTGTAAACTCCTTTCCAAATTTGGATATCAGTACAAAAAGACGAAAGGGTCGAAACTAGCAATGTGTGAACGACCAGATATCATTCGTTTGCGTATCAATTATTTGCGCACTATTAAAAAGAAACGAGAAGAAGGCTATGAGCCTGTCTATTTGGACGAAACCTGGGTTAATGCCTGCCACACAGCGGCTTACCAATGGTCTCACCCAGATACCAGAGAGCCACAGCGCAAGATCCCCCCTGGTAAAGGGGGGCGCCTGATTGTCCTCCATGCAGGCTCCCACAGAGGTTTCCTCCCTGGGTGTGATCTAGTGTTCAGATCCAGATCTACAGATGGCAGAGACTACCATACCGAGATGAATAGTCAGGTTTTCACTGCGTATGTTGAGGAGCAGCTCCTCTTAGCACTGCCTGATAAATCCTTGGTGGTTATGGACAGTGCTCCCTATCACAGTTGTCGAGATCCTATTGACCGTTGTCCAACCTCAAATTCCACCAAAGGTGAGATATGTCAGTGGTTGGACAACAACCGCATTGCTCGGCCCACGAAAGCCAAAAAACTGACTACTACCAACTGGTTCTTCAGAACAAACCCCCGCCCTCTTATTTGATTGACAACATTTTGAGAGAACACGGTCACGAAGTGCTTAGACTTCCTCCTTACCATTGTGACTTGAATCCCATCGAACTAATCTGGGGTGATTTGAAAAATATGGTCCTACGGCAAAATAAGACCTTCAAGCTTGCCGACGTCATGCAGATTGTCTTGAAAGGGAGAAATTACAGATGTACCTTGGGCAAGCTGTGTCCAACATGTTATGAAAGTTGAGGAAGAGTATTGGAAACAAGACTGTATCCGACCAGATACTGTCCAGCCTGTTGTTGTTCATTTAGGTGACAGCACAGACTCCGAATCTGACGTCGAGGGCATTTCGTGGGACCAAGAATAGTGCAATACAGATACACCTGTTTCACTACGACATGTAATAGCCCGAATTACCACGGATATGAATTCTTACATATTCATACATATTCTTAATCATTTCTTAAGAATCTTAAATATATCTTATTTGATTCCCAAACATTATTGTAGTTCATGGGATTCGTGATAAAAAAATTGTTTATCAAAGAATTTCTAGGAATCGCCTTCGAATTTCAGGTTCGTGCTTTGTAGTAATTGTCGTAATCGGATCGTGTCCACTTTGTGCAATTCTTGGCTCAGAATTTGATTCTCTTTCACCCGAAACAGCCCCGAAAGTCTCGAATCATCTACGAAAATATGAAAATTGTCTTTAAATGTAACTCCCAGTTATGTATGACTGTTTAATAATCTCATACCAACTTTGACTGGAGTAGGTCCAATAGTTTTTCAGATATTGTAGTAAACGTCGGTACCTTAAATTAACTTCCAGACTATATGTTGCTAACATATTATGTGCCAACAAAAGAGTTTTATGCCATTCCATTCGGTTACATTCTTTAAACATTTATAATGTGTACCACTATTATTGTGTCAACAAATTACTAGTTTGTGTTCATAATATGTTTGTTTTGTATTTTGTTTAGGTTACATGTGCATTTAAACACAAACATGTCATTTTCTCATTCCTGATTCGGAAGGTACAACATGCACAATTTGTTCCACCTTCTGGGTTACATGGGTGCAGAAAAGGTACTTGCATCAAAAGGTAGGTACACTTCAAAATGTCTTCGCGCCGTGCTTATCCCCTGAGAAAACTTATCGTGTACTTCTATGACATGTACAAAAAAGCATGCATTGGTGATCAAAGTTTTAAGGGAAGACAAATATATTTATCACATAACTTGTACCGTTTTAACTGATAATTTAAATATGTTTTAGGAACCTGGGAATTTTGTTGTAGAAAGAATATTTTTTCAGTCACCGTTTACACTTTCTCTGTGATAAGTTGTCAGCCATTTGAACGTGCATGCTACTTTTCATACGAGTGTCTCACGGTTTTCTGGAACTGAGTGAGGTCACGGTTTTCGCATGAAAACGAATGAACTGAGGTCAACTTCGTATGACACACATGTAAGTACAGAGTTAATATCTCACCGCCTGTCGCATCACCCCATAGCTAATATCCCCCCCCCCCCAAAAAAAAAAAAAAAAGAGGATCGGTCAAAACCCTGAACTGTCTTGGATAGAATGATACCACAAGGAAAGGATGCTGGCTAAAGGTACGGTTTCGACCAACATATGAAGAGCACTCCTGCTATAGTGAGTCTTGTCACAAAATTGGGTTCAGAGGCACGTTCATGCAGTCAGTTACGAATGTGTCCCCTTTTGAGAATTTAAGTGACACCTACGCCTCACTGAAAACACTAAACTTTGATGATGGGCCTTGGTAATGGCATTAAATATCCGAGGAAAGATAAGAATGCAACGTTATTGGAGGATGTGGAAGGATGAGTGAGTGAGTTGGGTTTAACGCCGCTTTTAACAGTATTACAGTTTTATCACGGCGTGTCAGCTAGGTTAAGTGATTAACACATATCTCGTATCTCGCACCGTTCAAATTCTCTTCAATTATAACCATTTGAGTCTTTGCTGTAGCTGTTATACCACCCCGGGTCATAGGGCCGATCTCCTTTACGAAGATATGATGCAACGATCACCTCGAAGTATGTAGTCAGATCGGTGCCAGCAGATCGGTGACGAAGGAAACGTGACTCATCAGTGAAACAGACCCTTCTCCATTGACGTTCTGTCCACCGCAAAGAGACATCGACGTTGAGGTTCTGCCGTCAGGACTGGCCTTCTGGCTTGGCTGCTCTCGGGGATACCGTAGATCATATACGCCTCAGTTGACAGGGACGTACAGACTGTGACCGCTACTATCTGTACTATGTGTTGATGATGCGTCGTTCGAATCCATATGTCTCGGCGAGGGATTGTCACGGTTGGTTTCCACAACTGGAAACGGTCTCTGATAGGCTTGCCCTCATCTGGCCTCCACCCTATATCGCCTACACCTCATTTGGCTTTCACTAAATACAAATGGTTACTTCCACACCCCTGTTGTGTAGAATGGTACTGTCCATTAACCCATTAATGATTTCATTCATTAATATGAATTAATGACCTGAGTACATGAGCCTTTGAACTTATCCGATGTTTTCATAGTGGTATCTGATGCTTGAGTTTGTTTTGACTGTTTATACAGGATAACTGGTACCAATCTCATTAAAATCAGATCTTAGTTCACGCTGCAGCTAAACAAAGATCTGAGGACATCCCATTACGGGTCACGTCAGACCAACCTTTCGCAAACTCTGACCGACCAATGGAATTACTGACAAGAAGTCGACATTAGCCAATCAGAAGGCAGCTTTCTCGTGCTTTACGGCACTACTTTCAAATTGGCGACTACGCTTCGAAACATATTTTGACAAATTCTCGCTTAAAAATTTGAAACCTGAACAAAAGAACATTCTCGGATGGCTAATATATGGTCTAGGTTGTATAGATTCAGTCGTTAAGCCCGTAACTATCGTTCGGAATACCCCGTTTTAAATGTTTTCGAGGCTTCATGATTAGAAATCACATTCCGACTGTCACTTTCACGATCTGGTAAGCGACGCTCTGATTGGTCGGATGAAAGGTCGGTCTGACGTGACCCCTAATGGGATGTCCTCAGATCTTTGTTTAGCGGTAGCTAGATTTAAGATCTGATTTTAATGAGATTGTACTGGTACAGGCTGAATGTCAAGCGGTAACTTGCTGTTCACTGCAAGTGTATCACCACTGGCTGCAATGGCAGATGCAGCACCATTGTCGACCATATTACATCAACCAAGCCTCACAGTCATCCACCTACCGAGAATGTAGAACACATCCGCATCATCGCCAGAATGAAGGAGCAAGTGAAGACAGACATCATCCCTGTTCAGCAGATCTACAACGCCGAACTCGACCGAGCTGACAAAAATGTTGCTGCCACGATGCCGTCCTTAGCCAGTGTCCATGCTGCTCTCTACCGACACCGCTCCAAGTCCATCCCACCTCTCCCAGAACTTCAAGCACATGGGTGGACTTCAATGCCACGCTCCCTCGAGCCCTGTGGAATCAACACGAGAACTGCGGGCCACGCTCCAACAACCATCTTGAAGGTTTCCACAACGGCCTGAAGAAGAGAATGCCGAGAGCCCATCCCAACATCTTCCAGTTTGTCAAAGAACTCAAGAAGATCGAGACAGCAGATAGGTGGTCAAGAAGGCAGATTGGATGGGTGGTGCCATGAGACCTCGTGCTCGTGTTGAGAGAGACCGAGATGCAAGGATCGAGAGACTGAAGCAGCAGCAGAGACTGGCAGAAGATCAGTGATCAAGTTTCTTGATGTAGTTGGACATTTCATCAAATTACAGTAATGTTGTTTGCAATGATGTAGTGTTGATGTTATAAAACATGAAGATGATGGATATATATGTACAGTGTTATGATAATACATGTGTATTTATGATATTTGATGTTGTGAAAACATTTGAGTTGTGATCTCATATACAAAATGAAATTACAGTATCAAAAGTCATTACATTCTTTGTTATCTTGTTGGAAGAGTTCATTTTACTTAAGGTATAATGGTACAAGTGTGATGTGCACTCATCCATAAATTTGTTTTGATAGTAGTGAAGGCGATATGAGGTGTAGGCCAGGTGAGGACATTGTGTACAGCGACGCCAGTCGCATTTGAATAAACAATGAGATAACACTGTTTTCCTATTTTTCAGGAAAGTGTTGCCATCGCAGGATACTGGGTTCAGTCACACTGCTGACATGACTCTCCTGAAGGTGTACCTCGCCGTGGTGCTGCCCCTGGTGGTGGACTGTGTGTGTGAACCCGGGCTTCAGGCCTGTGAGTGGGAGTCCTGGGGTGTGTGGAGCTCCTGTACCATTACTTGTGCTGGGGTGAGAACCAGAACACGGAAGATGTGCTGTGGAGTTCATGTTCCAGACTGTATCGGTAAATGTGACCGACCAAACACGTCCGTGGAGACGGAATATTGTGAGACACACTGCCCTAATGGTGGAAGCTTCATCGATGGCTACTGTCAGTGTCCTCCTCTCAGATACGGAGTTTGTTGTGAACGAGGTATGTTTATCGTTTGTTTTCAGTCATTAGGTTTGCCAAGCATCTCATTCGCCTGCTGGTTTTAGATGAAATGCCAATTTCACATAAACAGCATTAATGTTGTATATGTAATTAATTTCTTAATGTGAATATAGGGGAACAGGTGTCCTAGTTTCTTGAGACTACGTTTTTGAGGCAATAGACACGCATTATAATAATTTTGATGTATTATCGATTGCTATGTTCTGCAAGTTCTGTAAGTAAAATAGGTGTCTGTTTCTTGTAATTGAAAATAATTTTTTCGACTTTGCAAACAGACGATATATAACAAATACAGTAACATATCTTGATGGTGCAGCGTCAGCTGTTATTCCAGCTCTGTTCGGAAACCATTAGTAACGTCATATTCAATAAAGACATACAAAAAGAGCTAGCTAATATAAGTATAATTGAGTTTGATTTTGCACATTTGCTCTTTTGTATAATTAATCTTATTCATAACTTTATACTGGAATTTATACAGGCTCTGTTAGTTGCCTTTGCTCTTTAAAGCATACATGGGGTACATTACCAATATCAAAAAATATGTCATAAAATTGTTTACCTCCTTTACTTTGATTTGATCTTAATGATAGTGCCAGACACCTAAATTATAGACTCGGGAGTGTTGTTGGTTTAGATGTTGTAGAGCAGGATCAGGTCTTGGTCGTGTTTTGGGATGTCAAACCTATCTACTGGTACAGAAAGTGAGACGAAACCTATAAATAAGGTGGCGCCGACTTTTCTGCACCAGCAGATGGGTTGGATGGGTCATGTGGTTTGGTGTTGAAAGAAGGTCATGCAGATCTCAGTTAGGATTGGCGAAAGTGGGAACTCCGTGGTTGGGCCGCGAATCTGATCGAAGTAATACCTCCAGGTGATGTAGGTAGAAAGGATGCAGGCGGTGGTCAGGTCAACAAAATATACAGCAAAGCAAAAAAACCAGTTCGATAGTCATAAGAAATCTCTGCTAAGGCTGAAAAAACCGAATTGGTTCTCAGGCTATAGCGTTTGAAAATATCGTGCAAGTGGGCGGCTGCTTTTTTTTTGCTTTTTTTTTTCTTGGTTGTGTACAAACTAGTAAGAATCCGAATCCGCATATCGCTGCGTATAAGGCGAGTTTTTCATATTAACTAGAATTAGGATGTTTTTTTCCCCAACGCAAACACATTACTGTGAGCATGTAACACCGGAAATACCATGTCAGCAAATCCGTGCCGAAGTATGCAAATTAATCATGTAATTACACTGTCTGGTTGTAAAAAGAGTTCATAATATTTCTGGATTTATATTTGTAATCTTTTTTATTAATTTTATTCAACATTTCATTCAATATTGTTTCACTTCATTTCGGCGAAATCGCAAGTGAAGTGATAGGAAGATCGTACAAGTCACCGTTTTTTTACAGCAACCACGGTCATATTACCGCTATTATCATCAATGCCATGCACTGAATCGCTGAAAGTCCTGTTTGTTGTAGTTTGGCTATTATATGTCAACATTAAGTTTTCGCAATCGCAGCCGCGGAAGCATCAACGGTGATTGGTCAAATTCTTCCATACGAAAACATATCCGGCAGTAACGATCAATTGAACCAAAGTGCTACGCTGATGGTTATTAATTTATTTCACATATATTAAGTAAAGCTGCAACTAACATGATATTGGAATAAATTTTTCCTGACCAACTAATAGTTTCAGATACAATTCTTCCGCTCATTGTATCAAAAAAAATAAAGTTATGTTATTGTTATCAAGAAAAGCGTGCACAGCTGATTGCTACTTCCGGCTCAGTTCACGAGATAACACACACGGTAATCTTAATCTCGGCATATAAAACAATGCCAATCAGAACAAGAAATACAATGTAATCTGTAAATCATCATGTCTAGTGATGTTTTATCTCAAATTTCAAATTTGTATTGGCCAAGTTTAATTGGTATGATCTGTTCGTTTTCCTAAATTCGCTAATGTAATTTTATACTGCGGAATACAAACACGTTTTTATTGCAAATGTGGTGACTTTGTATGCACTTGTCATGTGCTTCATTCCGATTCGCTTTATAGACGGGGTATATAAATTAGCATTCCCCGCTTATTTTACGAGACAAATACACATGTAATTGTAAATATTAACCTCTGCGTATGAAACATTGTCCCGCATACAGTTCACAAATACTATAGAATTTGTAAATCATCATGTCTGGTGATGTTTTATCGCAAATTTAATGTTTTCATTGACCAAACAGCAAGACAAGCACACTAAAGTACTCACGGAAATTTTTAAAAAACAGTTTTTTCGACCTCAGATCATAAATAAATGCAGTTAATATACAAAATATGTTAATATTCAAACAACTAAATTAGTACTAATTGGGTCGTGGCACAAACACAGCGTATCAAAAAAAGTGTGTAAAAATGTGAATAAAACAGACTATTGTGAAACAGGGCATAACCAGGTGTAAGTAGATCAAGGTGACCTATGACACCTTGACGACAGGTGAGAACAGGTGCATAATGCCTATAGTCTGTTCCTGCTATGTCAATATGGACTTAGTTTTATTTTTGAATGTTGAAAGTGCCGACAAATTACCTCCTGTAAAGTACATTTTGTATTGTTCACTGAGATCAAACAAGCAAATCCAGACTAGTACTTTTCGAGTTGTTTTGTTATTTCGTATTTTTAGAGCTACGTAACACTTTGTGTCGATTTTTAAATAAGAAAAACAGGGTTTTTTTCATTTCCGTGAGTACTTTAACTACTATTGTCGTCTTAACCATAACCCTGATAACACACGAGATACGCAGTAAAGCAGTGCGTATGAAAAGGGAAGTAACTGCACGCTGAATCGCATTGTTTTTAAGTATTGTTGCATTTCACTTTTGGGGTCGGGTGTTGAGACGCGGAGTATTTAAGGATTTTTTTTAACATGGAAATAAAAACGAAAAATGTGGTGGACTTTGTGATGAAGCGGCGCAGCCTGAGAACCAAGAATATTTTTTTAGCCTTAAAGCTGAGCCCTGTGTACGATTCCGAATGTATCATGAGCACTTCATGTCGAGCAGTATTCCAGCCCTTGGTGTTTACATTCCGCAACGTTTACATTTGTACTGCCACTCTATTCTATACTGTCATTGTCATTACTTTGTATTGATTTGTAAACCTAGTTAATATTATGATATAACGTTAATTTATAACATGTCTTTGATATTTGTTAATAAAATAGTATCACACTGAAACCTTTTGCTTATAGATACCTTGGAATCAATTTCAATTTCGAAGTCGACACGTAACAGTATCTTAAATATAATAAATGTGGAAATTATTAAGGCAAACATTCCTCGAACAAATTATGTCGATGATATCTTTTATGTGACTTGGCCGTTTCAATTCAGATATTTGCATTTATGCTTCAGTTTCCTTGAGGCGAGTCAGAGAAGTCATTGGTTGCAGACGTCGTTCCTGTATTTATGTTTGTGTGGTTAAAAACTGATCAAATGATCGGTGAAATCGTTATTTTGTGTTAAAAGTCAAAATGGTAAAGAATTGCAGGATATCTAAAAATGGCGCGACAACAGTACGGACGCAGTATGCGAAAGTGCCAAGGTTTCGTCGTTATAACAAAGACAACGGTTATTTCATTTTCTTTGATGGTCATGTTTTATTATCCTTATAACAACCGGGATACGCACCGCTCAACACGGAAGAAACAGAGGATTAACCACTGTGTTCGGTTGTTACCGAAAAATCTACACACTCGTGATTAATCTGTCACAATTAGAACTCGGCAAAGCCTCGTTAATCCCTTTTCTCCCTTAACAATATGCCATAAAAAGTCGAGCTCGTAGTTGAAGATTTCCCGTGTTTAGTAACCACTCGGGATTCAGCCTCGTTTTCGAATATGCTCAGTAAGACAACTGTCAGCAGGATTGATCAGGCAAGATTTTATAATTACCAACTCAGGCAACTGGTCAGCGATTACATCTTCTCAAATCCTTCAATGGATTGTAATATTTTTGGACGAATTTACCTCTTTAAAACTAGTTTTACAGTGAATAATTTAATGTGTAAAATGATGAATAATTCATGTCATCTTTTTTACAATTTCTTTTGTTCCTGAACATTGTGAGCCCATGTGTTTTTATGATATAAAAAAAACCTTTTTCAGTGGACAGTTTTTCTTTTGAACATAATATTTAACATCATACACCAAATGTTACTAAATGAGTCATCTAATTTCCCCATATTTGTGAATGACAAGAAACAATGTGAATTTGACAAGCACAATAATTTTTTGTGTGTGAAACATAAATACATAGGATAGTATGTAAACAATAAATTATCATTTCAGTAGTTCTACAAGTATTTGCACTTTAATACCCTTGTAATTTTACATTGTAATTTTACTGCAACACTTACCTCCAAACTTTATTCTTTTGTTATTTTATCAGATTAGAAGTAAGACTTACTGATAAGGTAATTTAAAATTAACATGTTCTTAAAAATTCTTTTTATCTTCATGAAAACAAGACATAATAATAAATATATATTTGAGTGACCTGTTCATATGTGATTTTTTTTGGCAAAAAGTATTAAAATTAAAATTAGACATTGCTAATGTAAAGAAATGAGGTTTATGGTAAAATGTTATAAGAGGACCTCTTGTTGGTCATTTCTTCGTCACCCATAAATTTCAGTTTTTCTTTACTTACCATGTTCTGAAAATTTACACATTAGAATAATTTAAGGTCTCTGATTAAAATAGCGACACAACTTTCCACTCCCTGCAGGCAGCCAATTAGACTATGTGAAAAAAATAAACCACTGTAAACCTTGTAATAGGAGAATAATAAATATAAATACATTTCTTATTTTGCCATATGACCAGTTGATCATCCCAAGAAATGCTAAATAATTATCATTAAAATTAAGCTAGCTTTGCATATTGGGACTCTTTATCTGCTATGATAATATAACAATTGCATTTCTAAAGAAGTTTTTTTTTCAGTAATCATGGTAAATAATAAATCTTTGGTTTAAAGAATATACTTGAGACAAACCTAATTCTACATGTCTTAATACTCTGTATTGTCTGTAAATTCTGAAAATAATTAACTGTGATATTGAGTTTCTACCTAAAACTAATAATAAGAAATTAATTTTGAGATTATTTCATCCTATCTAAAATGCACTATATATTTTAAGATGCATAAATGTACATCATTGTTGAAAAAAAAGAATATTGCTTTTGAAAAAAATACCTAAAAAGGTTGATTGGTGCCCACCATCTTTATCTTCATCATTTTGTCTGCTCCCTATAATAAATCAAAATAGTTAAGAAAAAATATAAATACATATATTACTTTCTGGAGTTTTTTTAGATTTAGGTATGACTTAATATATTCAAGTTTTAACGGGGTAATGTTGTTTTTTCATAATGAGTTTCTTAATTGTCCTGAGATAGTATGTTTAAATAACTGAAGTCTTCATGCTTATAAAATATCAAATAATTATAGGCCAAAATACATTAATTATATTGATCTGGGTAAACTCCACCTGTTGAAAGGGGAAACAACTGCTGTGGTTGCAAAACATCTTGGTCGTGAGATGTATGGTCCGTCCGGCAAAGATTGATCGTTTCCTGCATTAAAATTGAGTATTGCTCTAGGACCAAATTATCTGAGTGTTTATTTTCTTTATATTTAAGTCTCGATTAATTTAATAGATCTATGAAATATGTTTTTGATCGATCGGCTCTAGATCAAAACTTTGTTGTAACGTGACATTTCTTATGTGGTTGACAGTTGTTGTTTCTAAAAAATACCAAACAATATGGTTTGTTTCACTATTTCATCGGTATTTTTACATGAATTAATTAACTGTTTCATGAGCTTTGTTATTAGCCTTGAAAACGCCCAGTAAAGAATGTACCGGAGTTGCTCCCCTGGTCCCGTAATATCGATGCGGTATCTCGCTTCGGTTACCGTCTTCTCATTCTGCAACTGAATCTGGTACATTGGGAAGCCGAAATTCTCTGATATATCTCCATATATCACACCCCTTCTTCCCCCACAAACTTTCTCTCGGTCATCAACTTTCGGCAATGGAAACATTGTCACTACGGTAATGTTTTGCCAGCTGGGGATTTCCTGTACTAGACGACCTCGGGTATCCCCGATCCGAAAATAGTGCCGTCAATTATTTTAGCCAGCCAATCAAAACACGATGACACAACTCTCCACTCTCAGGCAGCCAATCAGATTGGGTGAAAAAAAATAAACCACTGCGAATAAACCACTGCTGGCGATTGAAGATCAAGCCCTGTTACGGGAGAATAGTCAGTAACCAATGACGCTCTTCCGGCTGACGTCACCATTCAAAACAAACAAACGATAAGGCCAATCAAGCCAGAAATGAACATACAAGTGCTACAATGCAAATAATTAATGATTAATGGGTTAATTTTAATGTTGTATTACATTTACACTATTATACTAGTACTCAATTCCTAATAAAATTTACCAAAAACATTTCTGAATTTTTAGCAATATCCCATTGATAGATATATTGGTCATCACACACTGATATCGTTTCCACTTGTAACATACAATGGAAAAAGAAAGATAAGATTAACATTATCATTGTAGATCAGGTCGACATAACAAACCTCGCATTCATATGTTTACCAGGCGAGACAACTGCATCTGGTGACTGTGCCCGGCACTGCACGTGGATTAACTGGTTCTCCTGGGGAGGCTGCAGCACAGGCTGTGGCTGTGGAACACGAACCAGGAAAAGATGGCGCTGCTGTCTAACGTCGGTGGGGAATAACTGCACTGAGGACTGCAACTCCCGGGGGAACAGTATTGACACGAGGGTCTGCACCCAAGAGTGCATCACGAAAAGTAAGGGGCAAGGGTCTATCTGTACAGAAGATTGAATCATTTCGGGTTGATTCTCCAGAGAAAACGTGCAACACAGTGAGAAAGAAATGACAAGACAAATACAAAGGTCCATTGCATGAACAGCCAAAGCAGACAGCAAATTAGCCCTCTCAGACCACCGGCAACAATTCCCATGCTATCAAATTTATCTAATCCTCTCGACGAAACATCAGAATTTCAGGATTTCACTAATAATAAGATCCGTGAAGATCCGGGGTAGAATAGGTCTTCAGCAACCACGCTTGGCGTAAAAGGCGACAATGCGTGTCGTAAAAGGCGACTAACGGGATCGGGTGGCCAGGCTCGCTGACTTGGTTGATGCATGTCATCGATCCCAATTGTATGGATCGATGCTCATGATATCAATCACTGGATTGTCAGGTCCAGACTCATTTATTTACAGACCGCCGTCTCTTAGCTGAAATATTTCTGAGTGCGGCGTTAAACAACAAACCAACCAACCAACCAACTAAAAGAAAACACCCTGAAGCTATAGAAATCCGCCTTCACCAACGTCTAATCACCAGAGATAAAGGGAATTATATCTCGCCTGCCTATGAAGATCTACTTCAGCACCCACTCGTCTTTGCACAACTTCCCTATCCCCTTAACCCTTATCCTTACTGTACAACTGTTGTCATTACCTGTTCGCTATTTGTTATTCCTTCTGTACATCCGGCCTCAGTCAATTATCTGTGTGAGATTTGGTATCTTGTACCTGTTGTGCTTAATGGTCATCTGCTGCTCATCACAACATGTCATGCATATATGTCACTCTTCACTTGGTCGTAGTCACTCAAGCTCAAAACGGCGTAAGAATCTACATCGAAACGTCGCTGTATGCAATAAACCAGAAGTTGTTAGCTATAAAGTTGTACGTTTTCATATTTACCCATTAATTTCTATTATACAAATCAAACGGATACAAATGGTATATGACTAGCCTTCTTCACTTTCATCAACTCCCACCCTGCTTCAATTTGTGAATTCGTTTATAGTGTTCGCCTTCCCGATAAAGCCCTTCACTAACATGTCAGGGGCATGTGTTCACCATTTATTGGACCAACACATATCTAACATCGTGTTACAAGGTATCCGTCCTTTACAAAATGCCGATATTATTGTTAACCAGTAGAAAGAAACAAGAAATATCATGAAACGTCTGAAGTCACACTGTAAATATTATCATCTAAAATTGTGATGTTTTCAAAAACCAAATGATTGAAAGAAAATTGATTGTCAACGGACAATAAGTATTTAACACGCACAACGACTTGGTGAAATTCTTTGGCATGCTAATTGAATCACATTCAAAAGTTCGTAGTTGTCTGTACGTATGTGGGGCGGTCGGGTGGTCTAGTGGTTAAAGCGTTCGCTCGTCACGCCGAAGACCCGGGTTCGATTCCCGACATGGGTACAAAGTGTGAAGCCCATTTCCTGTGTCCCCCGCCGTGATATTGCTGGAATATTGCTAAAAGCAGCGTAAAAACATACTCACTCACTGTACGTATGTATACTCAAGTCTTTGAAAGGCATTTAGAAGTGATACACATAAGGAAGAGAATTTATGGATGTCAACTTCTTTATGATGAGGAACACAACATTTCGGAGTGTACACACTTTTTCATCTTGTGTGAATGCTATGAGGCAGAGAACATGTATATGTACATGTACCTGTTAATTCAACATAGAGGTTTAAGTGCAAAACGTAATAATGACATAACCACTTGTATACGAAGATGGATCAACATTCTTGTGATGAACAGATGAAACATACACTTCACCTGAGCAGGTTTTGAATAATTTCTTCATGTAGACAGGAATCGGACTTGCCCCCTTTGTTCCTGGAACGCGTGGCAGCCATGGAGCAGCTGTAGCCAGCGATGTGGAGGAGGTAAAAGGACAAGGTCACGGTCACCTTGCTGCTGTGAAGGGCAAACCGTTAAGGACTGCCTGTACGACTGCCGCCTGTCTGAGAATGACACAGTTGAGTCCGAGAGCTGCAATGAAGTTTGTTTCAACGACGGCAGTTTCTCAAGCAGCATCTGTGACTGTGGACGAGGCTACTCTGGATCCTGCTGCTCTGATGGTGGGGATGCTTCTTTATCTGTTCCTATGTATATGGTGATACACACAAATATTTGGATACACAATAGGCTTGGTGAAGCAAAAGCTTGTATCTCTGTAAGGATAATTGCAGTGGCGTATTTTAGGTATATCTGACTGTGATTAACTGTATAATGTATTTTGCTTCAACAGGAAGAAGTGACATTAATTCCATTTTGATCATGTCATCATAACTATATTTAATAAATCAAATCTAATTTCATTTCAGAGGTAACACATGACAATTGTTCCAAATGCACCTGGGCGATGTGGGAACCATGGGGGCTTTGTAATGGTTCCGAGAACGGAGAAGTAACGAGACAACGATCCCTCTGTTGTCGTGTGGGGCAGAAGGAAGACGAGTGTTACGCCCAGTGTAATCGAGAGAGACGCGAAACTGTAGACGTGAAACAATGTGACCTATTTGTAGTGAAAGGTGGGTTGAATGAGAAACAGTTATTTGCTGTTAATCTGGAAATTAATGAGTCTCGAAATTAATACGACTGCAGACCCCTAGCAAAGCTAGTATCATAATGTCAGAATACTGTCAAAAAAAATCATCTGTAAAAGCATATGGACTGCTGTGAAAAAATAAATCTTGGTTTGAATGATTACACAGAAGTCGTAATCAAGCTATTCAGATACTGAAAAACATAAACTTCAGGAACGTAATGACATATTCACTAATTTTATTTAGAATATTTAACATTTTCAGATTCAAACCAAATTCACTTCATGTACACAATCATCGCCTCTGTCGCCTCCGTCGTCCTTACGTCGCTTGTCTGGTAGGTATTCGTCTATAAACCATCCTTGGGCCTAACAGCTTAAGGAGTGAGTGAGTGACTTTGAGTTTAACGCTAATTTGAACTGTTGATATGACTTCTGCTAGTTACAAGGGTTAGCCTACGCCTACTTAACACAGCGTACCCATGAGGAAAAGGCGACAGAAAGGATATCGTAAGGTAAAGTAACATGCCAGTTCAGAAAGCATGCATTAGAGATGCAGTTGTACGTAATGTCAATATTTACTTTTAGGATCGTCTGTCATTGCATAAAGTATGGGCAGCGAAAAACACCCCCAAATCAGGAACTGTCTGGCGTGGCCAACCATGCTACTGAAATGGACAACTATACCAATTTGTCTGCTGCGCGAAGAGACGTGGTTCACAACGACTACCAGAAGACATCTGAGGAAGATGATGGATGTGGGCACGTGTATGAAACACCAGCAAACCTTCATATGTAATGCCGACCAGTGATACTGTGTCGTGTTAAACGTTTATGAGTTCACAACAGTGAGTAAGTTGGGTTTTACGCCGCTGTTAGCGTTCTTCCAGACATAGGGGGCACGGGTGGCCCAGTGGTCTAAGGCGCCGCGATTCGCTGTGCAGAGTTGCGTCCCTTGGGCACGCCAGAAACCTATGATTGTGGGTTCAAATCCCGGTTCGCCTCGATTATGTTTCTAGGTTTGTCAGCACCATACCCGTGCTAAACGTCTGGGACTCGCATCACTTTGGGATTTCCTCCCACATTAAGCTGACACGCCGTGATATAACTGTAATACTGTTAAAAGCGGTGTTTAACCCAACTCACTCACTCACTCTTCCAGACATATTACGGTATTGGGCAGCAAGAATGAGTTTCACAGATAGTACCCTCGTAGGAAGTCTTCGCAGTAAGGGCTCCCCTTACACATGACACATTATGTCAATATGTTTGCAAAATTTGTTGTTTGAAGATGGTATTACCAAAAGATAATAGTTTGAGTGGTTACATAGATTATCATTAATAATAATTACGTAGATGGAGGTTATCACTCAAGAGTGTTTGGGGAAGAGATGTGTCCTGTATTAGGAATAAACCTTGTAGTTTGGGAGTGTTGGCGAGCTAAATAGATACTGTTATCAAAGGGAAGCTACTCTAGGGAAGCGACGTCACGTTTCTGTAGAGTCTGCCTAGCCTGTCATGACGTTTCGCAGCAGGACTACACAATGAAGTCAGACATCCCACACAGCGACTAATGAAACAAATGTCATCAAGCCACTAAGGTCTACAAGCACAGATATTGAAACTGATCATGCCATAGCGTCCTCGCTAGGTTTCTTCGCAATTTATATCTAAAAGCTGCCTATACTCCCATGGAAAGTTGCTTCCCTTTTACACACGGGCGATAGTTATAACAATTATTTCAGTAATTTCTCAGGGTTCCAGATCGTCAATTCTAAAGCGAACGCCAAGAGACAAAGGCGACGCCATTAAACACTGAAAGTTTATCGACCTAACCTTTTATATTTGCATATTTAGCCGTAAATGACTCCAGCGGATACCGTTTATATCCGTTGCCTTAATCCTGCCGAGAAACCTACCCATTATATGATAAAACCATTTACTAATACTAACGAAAATTAACCACAACAAGTAGTAGAAATTCTAAATAAAAACAAATCATTGGATTTTAGTTACACACAAACAAAGAACACATCTGTGAGTACATGAAGACCATTTGTCCCGCGGACACTTCCTGCAATGCCAGGGTGAAGGTCACCGGTTGGTTGTATAACTACTTATTTCATATTCATTCAGTGATATACCTCTTGTTTGATTCCGTTATTCCGATAGACTCAAGACTAAACACAATCGTCATCTTGGGCAAACATCTTTATGTGGAACTCAATGGAAATATATCAAAGATAAAACACCAGTCGTGATAATATTAAAGTTACGCTGAACCTAAATGGGAAGTCAACCAAAATACGGTGCATCCCATTCGACTAAACAGAAGCGAAACAAGTGTGTGTGTGTGTGGGGGGGGGGGGGGGGGGGGTAGTTTACTTCAGCAACCCATGCTTGCCGTAAAAGGCGACTAACAGGATCGGGTGGTCAGGCTCGCTGACTTGGTTGATGCATGTCATCGATCCCAATTGCGAGGATCGATGCTCATGATATTAATCACTGGCTTGTCTGGTCCAGACTCGATTATTTACAGACCGCCGTCATATCAGTGGAATATTGCTGAGTGCGGCGTTAAACAACAAACCAAACAACAACTAACTACTCTTTGCGCATGAAGCATGACTGCAGGGCTACAGAAGTGATTACTAATTCACTGTAGCCATTGGAACATCACCGCCAATTAGTAATAATGCTCAGGCGTTCAGGGCGACGTCTGTGTTAAGATATAGGCGTTACCATATTCGCAATGCTACGACCACTTTGTCAAACGGGGCCAAGGTATCTTATTAATCTTCTTTTTTGATTAATTTTGTATATTTATCGTTTATCGGCTTACATATACCACCGTTGTTTTACTGCTAAGCTTGATTAAGTTTTATATTCATGAATTATTTTGTTCTTAATTTTTTTTACATTGTTGCTGTTGTTGCCACCTACTGTTGTTATAAACAGCCCACATCAAATACCCCATGTTAAAACTAAGTAACAGACCAACCATTTCATACCCTGAAGGATATTCAGAGTGACAAAACACTCTCCACAAGACTGTATGACAAGAAGGATGGCTTCAATTGTCCAACTGTCAACCTTCCCTTCATGCCGAGCAATATTCCAGCAGCTGCAGCCTTTGGTGTTCACATTTCACAACTTTTTAGATCAATCGAGCATGCTCTTTCCACTAAGGTTTCAAGGAAAGCACACGACTCTTGCTCAGAAGTTGTTTAATCAAGGTTACAACATTCAAAGCTTCAGTGAAGCTTTCAAAAAGTGTTATTGCAGACATGTGTAGGTCATTTCCAGCTTTGACGCATCATAGAGAAAAATAATGCAATGATATCCGATGCAATTCCCTGTTTTGACGTGTTCCACATATTCCCGTGTTTCTTCAGGTGAACAATTGGCTTGCCTTTGCATGTGTTTGTGACGGGTTCATGGAAAATGTCGGAAGATGAAACTTGTATGACGAATGAACGTCTTGTGGGGCCATAGGCTATGCTGAAGACATGAACCTTTTTACGGATAAGAATTCCTTTATTGTTTCTTACGACGCTTCAAGGCTAATTCTTATCATTCAAGAATTCCCCTGATGAAGGGGAAGAAGAACCCGTGATACGTCACTACAAACAATAAACAAGTTATTATCCATAAAATAGAATTATGTCTTCATGTTGAAACTCTTCACAAATTCATTTAAAAACTTGAAAGGATGACCTGTTAGAGGCTTACACGAAAATCAGAGAGTTCCGAAAAAGGCATTTTCAGTTTGTCTAATTGAAATTCCATTCAACATCCTTATATTGAGAGTGTCCTGTCAACACTCACCATGTTACCGATTCTTTCTTACATTATTGCATATAATCTCTTTGTTGTATTTGTAGGTTCTGTTGATTAGTGTTTACTTATTATTATTAGTAGTAGTATTGTTGTTGTTGTTGTTATCTCTCCATCACTGATGTTTGTGTGTCAACACCGTTTGGAAAGTACATTTGCAATATTACCCATGATTTCAGCATATGTTTCACATGTTTCGTATGCTTGATAATATTCACCACACATATCAGTGTCTGTTAAGTGTGTCAAAACATCAACACGTATCCTATATTATCAAATTTTAAGTTGTTTCCGTTTAAGCAGATTAGAACAACATCTATCTGGCATTGTTACCCGTGTCAACAGCTTTGTCATTTGTCTTTCTTATTTTACCTTATATTTCTTGGGCACATATCACGCATCATTAAACTATTTTGCATTCAATAATTAAGTGTATTTTTTTGTGTTTTTTTGTTGCGAAAATCAGAACTGTATTAACAGAGTGTGCACTCATGTAGCGACGTGCATGCACGTGTGTGTGGCTGCTTGTACTAGTCCAGACCAATGTCGATTTTATAGTGCTTGCCCACTGAGATACCATGCGGCAGTTGAAGATGAATACTCCACTCAGACCAAGTGTACTGATTACGAGTCGACCAGTCCTTGTTTTAGCTCACTAATGTTGAGCGCGAGGCAGTGTAACAAGTACAATATTTTAACGTCTTTTGGTATGACGCGGCCTGGGATCGAACCCACTACCTTTCGCTCTCTGGGCAGACGCTCTGTCGACAAGACCATGGAGGCGGTCTACGTAGGAAAGAACGATAGACACTTAACATCAGTCGTCGTGTCTGTGAGGTGCATTGACATCAGAATTCTCATACACACAACTATAGGTATAATATGTGGGCTTGTTTTACAGTACACAGGCGGTTCAAAACATACGATATACTGCCACTGTAACAGGAGAGGACGTGAGTGCACACGTTAAAGCATGGGTTGGGAGAGTTTTAATTAAAGTAGGCAGAGGGGGCACGGGTGGCCCAGTCGTCTGAGGCGCCGCGATTCGCTGTGCAGAGTTTCGTCCCTTGGGCACGCCAGAAACCTATGATTGTGGGTTCGAATCCCGGTTCGCCCCGATTACGTTTCTAGGTTTGTCAGCACCATACCCGTGCTCTTGGGTTTCACCGAAGTGGTAAACGTCTGAGACCTGCATCACTTCGGGCTTTCCTCCCACATTAAGCTGACACGCCGCGATATAACTGGAATATTGTTAAAAGCGGCGTAAAACCCAACTCACTCACTCACTCACTAAAGTAGGCAGATAATTAATACATTTATATGATTATCTGTATTTCAATATTTCATTATTTCCTTTTAATTTCATTTGCCAGAGATATGTGATTTCGTACTGTCGTGTACATAAAGCTGCTTTTTACTTGAGGAAGTCAATTTCCATTCCACGCCAGTGTGATGTTCTAATTGATATGGTTTAAGAAATATATAAGTTAACGCAGACAACAACCAGTCTCGATTATCCGCCGAAACAGATTCAATTCAGTTTGAACGACAACATAGCAGTAGTTGTACTACATAATGCACAGAACACGCGGTGTTTTAGAACATGCATAGACATAATGCCTTGTGCTTTCAGTATATTATCTTGAAGCGCCATAACGTGTCACATACATTGCAGAATCTGTTCATCACAATCAACAGTCGTTAACATCAGTTCCCTGTGGTGCAGACCACATTGCGACGTCATCGAAGAGTGCTGACCCTTGTTTGATGTTTCGGTACAAGAGGTAGCAGTGAGCTTGAGAGATTCCCTGAAACAGAGTTGTGTCAATCACCACTTGAGATCCGGCCATGTATATGGCGTTTGATTGATATCAGAGTCTCAGATTCAGCTTTTACTTACAAGAACACATATTCCCAAACCACATGACTGAAGTTAAACTGGTATTTTCCATCGTCTCCAAATTCGTATTTACAAAACTGTTGTATATGTTATGTTTATGTCGTTATGTTTCGAGTGCATTCCAATTCCGGTTTAAAATCATCGCCATTTGTCTCCAGTTAGGCGCTAAGAAAGAACATCTCTGACTTGTGGTCATGGGTATTCTTGTCTGAAGAAGTGAGGCTTTAGCAGATCATTATAGGAAGATAAATTCCTGACATGTTCCAAATTCTTTTTACAGCAGGCTTCAATACAAACACATTCATTTGTATTCTTGTAGGCTGCTAAACGTATTCAAAACTGTGACATATTGCAAGACATAAAGTCACAAACAAGAAAGAACAAATAACCACTGCAGTTCCTACCTCTGACACGTGCACCCTGAGGTCCACTCTCTGCCAGGTTGTCACGCCGTTATGGAAGGGGGCGTACTTGCCCCACACCCTCTGACCATCAGGCCTCTACAACGCCAAGAAGTAGACTATACCTCATGCAGAGGAATACAAAATGTCAATATTCAGACTATAATTCGTAATGGGCCATGGTAACAGTTTCATAATAAATCCAAGTTATATGTTGGTAGATGTGCTGACGTTCACACTGAATCATTTTAGTTTTACGCGTTCGTATAGACATGTGACCATTTGGCATCTGCAAAGCATTACAAACTGAAAATATCAAGCATATTTCGTTTTATTCCAATACTGCCTTTACATAACACGACAGAAATATATAACTCAAGCTCCTCTTAAAATAACTCTCACAGGATTGGTCGTATTCATAAACATGAAAAGTTTCGATGTTTTCCCTTGGTGATCATTGATGATGCTCAGATACAACCGAAGTATTGAAATAAGTTACAGACTTCAAATTAAAGTCACTTTCAGAAATATGTTTATCGATAGGGAGCACTGTATGTAAAGTCAAACTTAAACTGACGCCGTCCCAGTTTCCAATATGAATTTAAAATGAGTGAGTGAGTGAGTTGGGTTTAACGCCGCTTTTAACAGTATTCCAGTTATATCGCGGCTTAAAATGATAACAAACAACCCAAGTCACAATTAGTCCTCTTTCCTGGTGTGTTCCGAAAATATATAACCTCTGAAACAATGCTTGTTTTTTGCTTGTTTAAGGTCATTGAGTGATTGAGTGAGTGTGTTGGGTTTAACGCCGCTTTTAACAGTATTCCAGTTATATGACGGCGTGTCAGCTTAAGGTGTGTAAAGTGATGCAGGTATCAGACTTCGGCGAAACCCACGAACACGGGTATGGTGCTGACAAACCTAGAAACATCGAACCCACAATCTGGCGTGCCCAAGGGACGCAACTCTGCACAGCGAATCGCGGCGCCTTAGACGACTGGGCCACCCGTGTCCCCCTTTAGCCTCACAACCTCATCCAGGCATGTCTTAAATGCCATTTCCTTTTTTATCGTTCCAAAATACAGGGGATACCATGACATAAAAGTATATAAGACGATATCATTCTTTCTTTTTATTTCAAATATAACATTATATCCATGTAGCTTATTGTATGACAGTTACAGTTGCTAAATCGTATGCCTTATTGTGATATGTTTTCAATACCGTTTTTAATAGTCCCGTCCAGGTTCGAACTCCGAATTACAAGATGAAGATTTGGAACATCCCCCACCCCGAAGGTTATTGAGACCTTATTGACGTGATAATAAATTTATAATACAACGGAGACTGGTTCAGTCTAAGTCAAGTTAGGTTCTCTTCTAATGTTGTTAGTAAGAGACATAACAACGGAAACAACCTGAGGCGACAATATACGGTCATACGTGATAAAGACATCTTACTTCACTTCCAGGGAAAGCTAGGGGGAAAGAAATCCATGCTTCAATGGTACGTAACTGTGTATCATTCCATCTGTCAGAATGTGCCACCCATCCCACGTACCGTGATGTCGCAGTACACGCTGTAATCACTGGGATCATTGGACAGTGAAGTCCCGCTGTGTTTACTGTAGGCAGTCAGAAGGAAGCTGTGTATCCTTGTATGTGGAACAAAACGTGAAGCATTATTACAATTTACTTTGTATGTAACCTACAAAATAATGCCCATATGCAGCGAGAAAATACGTCACTTTATGTTTTCCTTTCTATAAATCACCATGATATCTGGGAGTCATTCTGAACCCATTTCGTTTGACTTATGGTGTATGTTGATCTTGCAGTGATGCTACACCAAGACCGAAAATGGGTGCCACATTGTCGAGCCTAGTCTCTCCTTACACTATTTAATAATGCAAAATGTATATGTTCTTTGGAGGTGAAGTAGTAATGGTAACAGGATTGACTTCATACAAATGGCAAGACTGTATTTCTGGGTGCATATACTAGTATTGGTCAACTCACGGAGGACTAAAGGTAAACAAATGTGATGCACCGCCATTTGTTACGCTTATAGCATGTGAGCCGCTATGAGCACCGGAAGTTGTCACAGTAAATCCTCCATGGTATGGCAGCCATGTTTTGTCTGATGCGCCGTTTTCGAAGGAGTTGTTCGGAACCGTTATTTTCTGACACGACTGGTGTGAGGTTACAGAGTCTATAAAGAAATCTTTGAATTAGCTATCGACGTCAAATGGTAAAACACGGAATAAAATCGTCTTCAATGAAACATATTGAACGGCTGTGATCAGTAGTACTTTTATTCATCCTTAAAGAATATCAACCTTTCCCAAACACCCTGCTGTATTTGCTCCTTGAGGGCGGCGTCCATGGCGACAGGGTGGGGCAGCCAGTGGGGGCGTGGGTACCGGAACCAGTTACCTGCGTCAAGAGGTATGTTGATTAGATCACATAATAGCTATTATAGTTCAGATTAATACAAAGAAAGTGAAAACATGTATTAATAACCTTCTAATGCTTTCTCGGTGTGATGTGAGATTTGATTAATCTAGTTACTTTTCGAAACGTCAACGCCAGAGAATAATCAGTCTCGAATATATTCCGAAACAGATTCCACAGGGCGAAAAAGGCAAAGTAGTGTCGACGATTATATGAATGGATCACTGAAAATGAGTGGTGACACCAGGTGTTTGTGAAGAGGTGGTGAGGTGAAATTGGGTTTAACGTCGCGTCCAAGATTATTGCTGTTATATAGAGACGTGCATGCACGTGTGTGTGTGTGTGTGGCTGCTTGTACTAGTCCGGACTGATGCCGATTTATAGTGCTAGCTCACTGAGATACCATGCCGCAGTTTAACATGAATACCCCACTCAGACACAGTATACTGACTCCGAGCCGACCAGTCCTTGTTTTAGCCCCTCAATGCCGAGCGCCAGACAGGAAACAACAAGTACCATCTTTTAACGTCTTTTAGTATGACGCGGCCGCGGATCGAACCCCGGACCTTCCGCTCTCCGGGCGGACGCTCTACCACTAGACCACGGAGGCGGTCCGTGTTTGCGAAGAGGCCAAGTCAGTCTCACTCTCCAGGTAGCACCGCGTTTCAGTAAAACGTAAGTGTTTGTTTATTGCTTGACACCGCACTGAACAGCACCCTAGGCCTGTATACAATCGAGTCCTGACCAGACAATCCAGTGATTGATATTATGAAGAATGTTCCACGCTGTTAGTATTACCAACGACATTAAAGCTACAAAACTCGTTCCATACACACAGTCCTCAAATTATTAATTCATCGGTTTGTATGTACATTTTTACAAACCTTTCGGTTCCGTCAACACAAACAACAATGGAATATTTATGTTTAAATACATGTACTTTAACGTCGATCATGGCAACTGAATTGTACCCATGCAAATGGATCTTCTGTATTGTATTCAATACATTTCTCACTATGTAAAGCAGTAAACACGCACCTGCACGGTAGCCTTGAGTTCTCACTATGTAAAGCAGTAAACACGCACCTGCACGGTAGCCTTGAGTTCTCACTATGTAAAGCAGTAAACACACACCTGCACGGTAGCCTTGAGTTCTCAATATGTAAAGCAGTAAACACGCACCTGCACGGTAGCCTTGAGTTCTCACTACGTAAAGCAGTAAACACGCACCTGCACGGTAGCCTTGAGTTCTCACTATGTAAAGCAGTAAACACACACCTGCACGGTAGCCTTGAGTTCTCACTATGTAAAGCAGTAAACACACACCTGCACGGTAGCCTTGAGTTCTCACTATGTAAAGCAGTAAACACGCACCTGCACAGTAGCCTTGAGGTCGTTGATACCAGCAGCAAAGTCGGGGACATCTGTATTTGCCAGCAACACGTAATAGTCAGCATGGGTCTTCATCTTCTCGTCATATATAGCCAGATAAGCCTGTCATGGAAGTGAACCAGATAGTTGCAACACACCAACAATCCCGTTATATATAGCCAAGACCTATCATGGAAGTAAACCAGATAGTTGTAACACACCAACAATCTCGTCATATATAGCCAGGTAAGCCTATCAAGGAACTGCACCAGATAGTTGCAACACTCCAACAATCTCATCATATATAGCCAGGTAAGCCTATTATGGATGTGAACCAGATAGTTGCAACACACAAACAATCTCGTGATATATAGCCAGGAAAGCCTACCATGGAAGTGATCCAGATAGTTGCAACACTCCAACAATCTCATCATATATAGTCAGGAAAGCCTACCATGGAGGTGATCTAGATAGTTGCAACACTCCAACAAACTCATCATATATAGTCAGGAAAGCCTATCATGGAAGTGACCCAGATAGTTGCAACACAGCAACAATCTCATCATATTTAAACAGGAAAGCCTATCATGGAAGTGAACCAGATAGTTGCAACACACCAACAATCTCGTTATATATAGCCAGGTAAGCCTATCAAGGAACTGCACCAGATCGGTTCAACACACGAACAATCAACGTGAGTGAATGTTGTTTACCGCCGCAGTTATTACGGCGACCTGTAAATGATCAAGTCTGGACCAAGTAAACCAATATCCCCATGTCCGTCGACTCGTATTCCAAGCATTGGTACTGTTGGTCTATTCGAACCCGAAATCCTTGTAGAGGTAGATGTAAGATATTGACGTGTATGCTGTAAAAAAACGATTTCTAGACACATGATATCACAACACAGTTGACCTTCAGTCCTTCCAGGTTTGGAAAGACATTGTACTGAGCAACGTTAAAGCGTAAAGGGGCGCTCTGTACTGCTGATAATACATCTGGATTTGTGTTCATACTGTTGGGTGTATAAAGATTTAAGAGCAAAATATGTAAATAACTATTTCTACCGCAACCCAAACGGTAACAAATTGTGTACATTAATGACTTGTGATTGTACAGAAACTATTAGAAATGTATCAATGTTTGTTTATCAAGCTATGAAACTAAGAACATGTATGAATTTGTAACACGCCCCCGACAAAGTACTATAGGCCGTTTGCCTCATGCGTACCATGAATAAAGATTGTTTGATTGTCACTACCACTGAGGATAACTTGAAATGGAGGGATACATGTACTCTCATATCTTGATCTAAGATCTACCTTATACGACCCCCCATGTACAGATGGTGGTACGCCGATGCTCCCATCTACAGCATGGTCATGTCCAGCGGTCCATTCTCTCACGTCAACATTTGGCAGTGAAGCCGAGTAGAATCCGCCACTGCAACATACATCCTATGTGTAGAAATGAAAGTTCAAACATTTTGATTATTGCTGGCATCCTTCATGTGAAAACACAATTTCAGAATATCAGATGAAATTTTCCCTGTAAATAAAATAAATCATGTACGGACTAAATCTATATATTTCATTTGTAATTGAGTTATAAACATGTCCCTTTGAAAACAAGCCTCACATTCTATGGTTTATTGGGGTTGTGTGATACGTCCTCACGACTTCCATTGAAGCTGAATAAAATCCTGGTCTAGAACCCGTTGACGGGATGAACGGGGCCCGGACCCGTACATTTTCACTGAATTTCGATCAAACATACCCAGAGTTAGCTTTGAGAATGAGCTTGACGGTCCAGGGTTTGTAGGGCGCTGCGTAACCTGTGTTACTGAGGACCAGGTGGAAACACAGGGTACCTCCATGCTCGGCCTTTGTTGGAAACACTGCCTGGAACACCAACGCACTTTGTCAGCACCAGAGAAGCATCAACATTGACAGCAATGAAGCATTGAATATTAATATTAAATTAGTTGTGTAAATTATATCTCCTTCGGGTAATGTGTTTATGACAAGATGTAATATGCACAAATGTACTGCTAAATAATTGAGGAAAAAATGAATGTCTATCATTGGTCGATTCATCCTCTTCTACCCTGAATGTAACCTGCTTGGTACTCTTCGCCTTATTGATCAGTGTTATGTACTAAACACGACATGCCAATCAGGGTGCACCACTGACTATATCTAAAATATTATGACAATAGTTTATCCATACAGAATAGAATGAAAAGTTCCAAATATGTCAAATTCGCAACCGCAATATTTAAACAACTGGTCTCAAAGAGCCATTGTGTACGCAGTTTGATGATTTTTTTCACCATGTCAAAACGGAAACCAGTTTATAAATTGAGCACGGATCGCCTTTCGGTTATTTCGGAATGACACGAGTGGTCACGAATGTTTTTGGTCTCTTGTCTCACACACCTGTTTCAGAGATAACCTGTAACCAAGGTCCCTGTGTATCTGCACAAAACAGCCTTGAGATTTCCAGTCCCCCGTCACCTCAGGGGAATAACCCTTATTGATGAAGGACCAGTGAAATTGTTTCAATTCCTTCAGCGCAGTTGGGCAATCACTTCGGTGACTACCATGCCTGGAAAACAATGACATCATATGGATTTAAACACTCATCAGCTTAAAAAAGTACGGGATATAAAAAATACGAACAACTTGAAACAATTGTCTTAAATCCCTTGAAGAACCCATATAGAATAGCTCTTCAGCAACCGATGCTTACCGTAAAAGGCGACTATGCTTGTCGTAAGAGGCGAATAACGGGATCGGGTGGTCAGGCTCGCTGAATTGGTTGATGCACGTCATCGCATCCCAAATGCGTGGATCGATGCTCATGATATCAATCACTGGATTGTCTGGTCCAGACTCGATTATTTACAGACCGCCGTCATATAGCTGGAATATTGCTGAGTGCGGCGTAAAACAACAAACCAACCAACCAACAAAACAATTGTCTTAAACATGTTCAGTCCAACAGGCGTGATGTGGGGTAAATATGTTGTGTCCCTTTACACTTTCACAGAGGGTCCACTGAGTGACTGCATGTTGTTTTTCGCTGCAGTCAGTAATGCAGAAAGACATAAAAAAGAGTATAATGTATTGTAGTTTCAGACCTACTCTTACTTTGATGGAGCTCTTCCGCATGTTTCGCCACCGATTGGCAGATATTCCGTGTCAATCGCTAGATACGACTTTTCTGTCGCAACGTTTTCGTATGTACCAACGTCATCATCGGAGGCTAGGAAGCAGTCGTTATGGTGACCTGAATGGGATAAATATAGAACTGACCATTTGATATTCCTCGGGCAGACTGGGACTATTCTTGGAGACAGAACATATCTTGCGTCCTTGTTTCAATTTAACCCAAATCATTTACATGTTTTTCTACTTGTTTTCAGGATATCCATCATGTTGATCTCAAAGGGTTTATAACAACGTCGGAAATCCTTACGAAGGTACGTAAGACAGTGAATAAGTAAGTGAATGAGTGGATGAGTGTGTTGAGGTTGAACGCCGCTTTGATCTCTGTCTGTATTTCAGTTATTTCACTGTATTTCAAACTGATGTCCTGGGAGAGCTCATAACAAACCTACTCCCTATTGATTCAAGTGTGCCCTTTTCTAACACCCAGTTTGTTTGTATAGGCCACGAGCACGGTGAAGATGATCATGGCTCGATTCGAACCCATGACGAGCTGACCAGAACAGGACGGGACTCTGATGGGAAGATTGAGGAACCTTAAACCACTTGTCCAGCAAGATACAAGATAACAAACACCTGTTCTCCCAGCGTGTGTATGTCGCTCCACGTCTGCCAGGCTGGAAGGCCTGTTGCTGTTCCAAATCTTCATCTTGTAAGTCGGAGTTCGAACCTGGACGGGACTATTAAAAACGGTATTGAAAACATACCACGATACCGCATACGATATTGCAACTGTAAATTTCATACAATAAGCTACATAGATTAAATGTTAAATTTGAAATAAAAAGAAAGAATGATATCGTCTTATATACTTTTATGTCATGGTATCCCCTGTATGTTGGAACGATAAAAAGGAAATGTCATTTAAGACATGCCTGGTTGAGGTTGTGAGGCTAAAGGGGGACACGGGTGGCCCAGTCGTCTAAGGCGCCGCGATTCGCTGTGCAGAGTTGCGTCAGGAGCACGCCAGAAACCTATGATTGTGGGTTCAAATCCCGGTTCGCCCCGATTATGTTTCTAGGTTTGTTAGCACCTTACCTGTGCTCTTGGGTTTCACCGAAGTGGTAAACGTCTGAGACCTACATCACTTCGGGCTTTCCTCCCACATTAAGCTGACACGCCGTGATATAACTGGAATACTGTTAAAAGCGGCGATAAACCCAACTCACTCACTCACTGTGAGGCTAAAGCGAGGCATAAACGTTTTGATTGTATGAATGCAATATGGTATAAAACCTTATAACTTTTGATGAAAGAAAGCCATTTAAATTACATATATGATGATATCAGCTAACACCTTAGTTTTAAAATAAAGATTCGTGGTCGTAAATATATATTACTTTACTGCTTTCTTTGTGTCTTGACTGTGTCGGGGTGGTCGGGTAGCTAAGTGGTTAAAGCGTTCGCTCGTCACGCCGAAGACCCGGGATCGAATCCCGACATGGGTACAATGTGTGAAGCCCATATAAGCCGTGATATTGCTGGAATATTGCTAAAAGCGGCGTAAAACCAAACTCACTCACTCACTTGACTGTGTCGTCTTCCAAAAATATAAACACGAAAGCACCAGGTAATGGCGTTTGTACTGTGCATAGACCGACTATAACTGTTATTATTGAAATATGAATCAACAAAAGTTACCATGGCGAATATGTACACACAATACAAGAGGTTTCATAACCTTTCAGAGCTCAGTAAAATGGCGTAACCTACGTCTGTTCAAGAAACATTTACGTTCACGAACATAACCTTGTGACATCTTAATGGTATGTATTTACATGGAAGTGGGTGAGTTGTCGATAATGGCGGTCAGAACATCTCTCCGATCCTGCCAATTCGTGGCTGACAGACCATGGGTCAAGTGGTTGGGGTCGCCAAAATACGTCGTGTAGTACCACTCACCTGTCATCAAAGCAAGAAAGTACATATGTCATTTTATTATCACGGGTCAATTAATATTGCCCTCTTGTCAAGAAAAAAGCTGTAAAAATACCGCCTCGAAATTGCTGGAGGCAAAGAGATTGCAGCTGGAACACAACAAATGTACATTCCTCAGTTGTTTTGGTAAACGTGTTTGGTTGCCTGGCTTAGGTGTCATTAACTAATTTGACCGAAATTCATGACGTTCAACATTTGAAGTGCATGTTTTCCTCTGTACTAATACCAAATGAATGATGATGTGATCTGTTATTTTTCAATACAGCGAAAGAAAATGTTACGTAGAAATATATTCGAAATTATTATTATCTCGGTAGATGAGATGAATATGTATATTTACTGAAGCGAGGAAAAAGGAAAATGTATAATGCAATTCTATTAATTACCCCAAATGCCAATGAAGCCTGCTTGTATCACTGATATGACACCCTCATATGCTTTCCATATTGGTCCCAACTGCCTGATGTGTTCCAGCATCCACTGCTTTGTTGCGTCACCGTAAGGGGCCGTGCTGCGCTGTTTAAATAAGGGATATTGTTACACAAAAAGTCGATGAAGTTGTTGAACTGGTGACCTGTACGGGGTAGAGTTTCTTTGCAGCTAATCAACAATTTCAATATCATGTACATTGTTGAATTGTCCAGCACAATTGGAGATTGGATAAGGTGTACTTGCGTGTGCGCATATTTTAATTATCTGTACTGTGTATTGCAAGGGCACGAACAAATAATATCGCGAGGTGTTCGATGTTTCACGATGCACATCGGTGCACAGCGTTGCCTAAACGGTGTCAATTGTAAAATGTGCAGTATTATGTTACCTATACCGTGTTGGATGTTACCCACAGTTTTACTCACACCATGTAAAATGTTGCCCACGCCGTGTTCAAGGTTACCACACCTTGTTCAATGTTGCCCACGCCGTGTTCAATGTTACCACACCTTGTTCAATGTTACCCTAACCGTCTTCGATGTTGCCCACGCCGTGTTCAATGTTACCCAAGACGTGTTCAGTGTTACCCTTACCGTGTTCGATGTTGCCAACGCCGTGTTCAATGTTACCTAAGACGTGTTCAGTGTTACCCTTACCGTGTTCGATGTTGCCCAAGCCGTGTTCAATGTTACCCAAGACGTGTTCAGTGTTACCCTTACCGTGTTCGATGTTGCCCACGCCGTGTTCAGTGTTACCCAAGACGTGTTCAGTGTTACCCTTACCGTGTTCGATGTTGCCCAAACCGTGTTCAATGTTACCCAAGACGTGTTCAGTGTTACCCTTACCGTGTTCGATGTTGCCCAAGCCGTGTTCAATGTTACCCAAGACGCGTTCAGTGTTACCCTTACCGTGTTCGATGTTGCCCAAGCCGTGTTCAATGTTACCCAAGACGTGTTCAGTGTTACCCTTACCGTGTTCGATGTTGCCCAAGCCGTGTTCAATGTTACCAATACGTGTTCAGTGTTACCCTTACCGTGTTCGATGTTGCCCACGCCGTGTTCAATGTTACCCAAGACGTGTTCAGTGTTACCCTTACCGTGTTCGATGTTGCCCACGCCGTGTTCAACGTTACCCAAGACGTGTTCAGTGTTACCCTTACCGTGTTCGATGTTACCCAAGATGTGTTCAGTGTTACCCTTACCATGTTTAATGTAGCACTTGGTGTTCAATGTCTTGTACAGTGTGACAAACTCCGTGTTCAGTGTTACTAACGTCACGTCCGTTGTTACCTGAACGTGGTCAATGTTGCCAACACTGCTTCCAATGTTACCTACACTGCGATCATTGTTGCTAACACTGCGTTCAGTATTACCTACACTGCGTTCAATGTTACCTACACTGCGTTCAATGTTACCTACACTGCGTTCAATGTTACCTACACTGTGACTGGTGTAGCTGAACCTCAGAGCCACGGTCCAGCCAGCATCCTTCACAATGTCAAGATCATCCCGTATGTGTGTGAGGAAAGTATTGCTGATGGAGGAATGAACAAAGGAGTCGAGAACATAGATCCTCAGTCCGATGTTAACGCCATCATCTCGCCGCACAGTGTCCAAGTAATGGACCTGAAACAAGACTGATCATGTTACCATGTGGTCATCAATCAGTTAGCCTATAATTATAATCATTTGTCCATACCTTCATTTTCATAACCATAAAACATCGCAAGAGAATAACCAGTCTCGAATTTCCACCGAAACAGATTCCAAATGGCAAAATAGCGATGAAAATGATATGAATGGATCAATAAAAGTCAGTCATGACACCAGGTGTTCGCGAAAGTCGTAAGCCTACCGGTGCACCCGGTCAGCTTGCATATAAGAGTATTGGTTTGTAAATTCATCGATCCATCCACCCGTCCATGCACACATACGAAGGATCTTGTCACCAAGACAACACATCCATCCATTAAGCGTAGGGGCGTTCGGGTAGCCTCGTGGTTAAAGCGTTCGCTCGTCACGCCGAAGACCCGGGTTCGATTCCCGACATGGGTAAATGTGTGAAGACAATTTCTGGTGGCCCCCGCCGCGATATTGCTGGAATATTGCTAAAAGCGGCGTAAAATGAAACTCACTCACTCACACCATTAAGCGTAAAACAAGTGTTTGCAGTTTCATCATTTGTATCATTTGTATTTAAACTGATGACTAAGGCTTAGGTGTGACCAATGCGTTTGCTTTGGCAAGCAATCAATTCTTCACTGGGTTCCTGAGCTCTTTCAATGCCTTCTCCGACTTATTATGACTAAACATTGCTAAAAACGGCATAAAATCATATTCACTCAATAATATTACGAATTAGCAGTTCAATACGATAAAGGAAAAATTTTATGTTATACATATATTTTGTTACAGCAAAATTTGATTCAACTTACTGTGAGAGGTGAGAAGTGACTTGATGTGGTCTCCAAATGTTGGTAGAAGCCGCGTCCCGGGTTCTCTATGCGAGCATCCGATGAATGGTAACTGACTGAGTGGTAGCTGAAGCAAGGTAGACAAAGTCACATTACAGTCAGTGAATGTTGTTTTCGACGCTTTGATTCATATGTTTAGTTCTGTCATGGCGTGACAGTTTGATGTGGGAGAACAACCGTCTTGGCGCAGGGCATAGACTTTTGCCATTATTGAGACCATCGAATATGATGGTAACAAGCAAATGGGCACATTTGTGTATACAAAAAGGTACATCGGGTATATTTATGTAGTACCTGTGCCGACGACGACCCCAACAGCGTTCTCTGAAGTTATAGGCGCCATATTGAGTTATGAAAAAAAGTTATCTGCACCCAATGTTCTTAAATATGACCAAGCCAAGGTTTAATACCATATTGCATTCATACAATCAAAACGTTTATGCCTTACTTTAGCCTCATAGTGAGTGAGAGAGTTGGGTTTAACGCCGCTGTTAACAGTATTCCAGTTATATCACGGCATGTCAGCTTGATGTAGGAGGAACGAAGCACAGGACATTTTAGAAGCAGTAATATCAATATCTCTTTCCTTTATATCTTCTGTTACCATATTTCAAAGCCATACATTTTGTTTAATGAAAGTTATAAGCTCCCGTGGTTTCTAGATGAATGGAGATATCTGAACTGCATCAATGAATGTTCATGTACATAGGTGGTGGAAAATATATGAACACACGTGGTTGTCCTACCTATTAGGATCCTTTGCAATGTTGCTGCATGACGAACAGGCGCTGGAGCTCCCTGAAACATGAAATGCTGACCCATCAAACCTGGCTATCAATGTCCATGAGAGACTTTCCTTTGTGTTACGTGAATGAGTGAGTATGGTTATAAACCCTTTAGCAATATTCCATATGACGACGGGGCACATCTGGAACTCAGTGTACCCATGTGGGGAATCGACCCCGGATCTTCGACATGACGAGCGGACGCTTTAACCACTGGGCCAACCCACCGCCGCTCTTACGATACGACATCAAATTAATACTTCACTTGGACACATCTCTCCTAGTTGATGAATACATCCTTTGGTTATGGTGCTAGAATAGCTAGAATATACATTCAATCATGTATGATACTTTAACAGTTGTCATAACTTCATTAACTCAACACCTTATAAGAAAGGCTTTCTTTGAAACTTAGGAAGATGTAATTCGGACGTACAGATGACAATATTTGTGTAAACTCTGTGGTATTTGCTCGTTACGAAGCAAGGATTTGATACCTTCACTGTAATTGTTCAGGAGGCGTTCGCTTGAATATTTGTCCGCATAACATTGCACTTGCACAACATAACATGGCTTACATAATATGGCTTACATGACATAACATGGCTTACCTTTAATGCTGACACAGAGAACTAGCCACCCAAGGATGTTCATGGTTGCATGTGCTCAGAATGAAAGCGGCGTGTCAAGCAATGTACACACATATGGCTGGGGTCCTTGAAGGTCGCGTGACCGACATAAAAAATCTTATCAGATACAAAGCTGAACTATCTTCAGATTGACCTACATGTAGGTAATTTCACATTCGTGCGGCATAAACTTGGTTTGTCACGGAATTGCAATCTTATGACGTTACATTATTTTTTACATGTCAAGGCAACATTAAAAATGGCAGTGAGATGATATGATGTCTGGTATCTTATCTATAAGTAATTTTGAAGTGTCATGGCATTGTGTAAAAATGACTTATTGCACACGTAAGCAGAAGTGTATATGCCCTGATATTTATTTTACAAATACATCTTACTGGTTTCTTCGTTGCGAATATGTGCACACAGCACCTTAGGTACTCGATTAAAACACCCTAGTGTAGGAAGTGTAGGACCCTGAGAAACCGCACATCGCGGAACTCATTCATTGATCTTAAATTCCTCAACACTTTTACTGCATATATACATAGCGTCAGCAGGTTCATTATGTTCTGTGGTTGGAATGTCTATGTTAAGAGTCGAGACATAAAAACACGTCAAAGTCTATTGTTTGCACATAACTTGACAAAATGTCGCAACTACGAACAACATAACTGTAAATCAAGCATGACCAACAACGTGGTTCTAAAACACATTGACTGGTGACAAGAAGCTACCTTAAGTTATAAAGGATACTACAAGGAACCATATTCAGACATACAGACTTTCACAGTAGCCTCTAGGTCGTTCATGCCTGCAGCACAGTCAGGAGCGTCTACCTTTGCACGAAGCATATACTGGTCAGCATGGGTCCTCATTTTCTCGTTTTTTATGAAGGCATACCAACATTAAAAACATCACTGGATACAGGTAGGGGTGGTGTGGGCTGTTGTTTTGGTGTTGCAACCACAAGACAGAAAAGGTTCGCGTTCAAGATTATTTAGCTAACACAGCAACATGCACGTGTATTTTGACCTGTGGGTTTTTTACCTTACTAAGCCCCTGAGACACTTTAATATGGACATGGGGCACGTTACACTGATTCCGACAAGTCCTTGTTTTATAATGCTAGCCTACTGCGATATCATGCCACAGTTTAACATCGATACCCCACTCAGACACAGTATACTGACACCGAGCCGACCAGTCCTTGTTTTATAATGCTAGCCTACTGCGATATCATGACACAGTTTAACATCGATACCCCACTCAGACACGGTACACTGACATCGAGCCGACCAGTCCTTGTTTTATAATGCTAGCCTACTGCGATATCATGCCACAGTTTAACATCGATACCCAACTCAGACACAGTATACTGACACCGAGCCGACCAGTCCTTGTTTTATAATGCTAGCCTACTGCGATATCATGCCACAGTTTAACATCGATACCCAACTCAGACACAGTATACTGACACCGAGCCGACCAGTCCTTGTTTTAAAATGCTAGCCTACTGCGATATCATGCCACAGTTTAACATCGATACCCCACTCAGACACAATATACTGACACCGAGCCGACCAGTCCGTGTTTTATAATGCTAGCCTACTGCGATATCATGCCACAGTTTAACATCGATACCCCACTCAGACACAGTATACTGACATCGAGCCGACCAGTCCTTGTTTTATTATGCCAGCCTACTGCGATATCATGCCACAGTTTAACATCGATACCCCATTCAGACACAGTAAACTGACACCGAGCCGACCAGTCCCTTTATCACCGTAACACTGAGCGCAAGGTGACAACAATTATGTTTGACCATCTTATGACATGACGCAGCCTGGGGTCGAACCATCGACCGACCTCTCTCCAGGAGGCTGAATGACTGTAGATACTTAAAAGTAGTACCGTTAAGTAACCTTAACTCGTTCTCTCCATCATTTTGGTCTTTCTGGTAGTGTAAGACGGCACGGTGACACTTCACTCCACCGCCTGGTCCTGTCCGGTCACTCAAGGCTTGAACTTCCACATTATAGGTGGCGGTCGGGTGGCCTAGTGGTTGTAGCATTCGCTCGTCACGCCGAACACCCGGGTTCAATTCCCCACATGGTTACAATGCGTGAAGCCCATATGTGGTGTCCCCCGCCGTGATATTGCGGGAATTTTGCTAAAAGCGGCGAAAAACTGAGGTTTGGTCACACGCATTTTGAGTCAGTGAGGTTTAACTCTCGCGTATCTCGAGTAAATGAGATTTTGGTCCAACGAACATGGAGAAAACGGGGTTTTAAATCACACGTATTTCGAGTAACTGAGGTTTGGGCCCCACGCATTTCTGAGTAAAGAGGTTATGGTCCAACGAATATCGGGTTAATGAGGTTTTTCATCCCATGTATTTGTAGGTAATGAGGTTTTGAACTCGCGTATCTCGAATTTATAGATAATAGAGAGTAATTAATAGAGTAAATGAGGTTTGGGTCCACCGGATCTTGAATAAATGAGGTTTTGTTTCCACATATTTCTGGGTAATGAGGTTCTGGTCCCAAATATTACGAGTAAATGAGGTTTCGTTCCCACTTATCTCGGGTTTGAGGGTTTGAGGGGTTTTATTTTTTATTTAACGCGGTTTTGGTCGCAGGTATTTCAAGTTCAGGTTTTTGGATGCATTGTATATACTGGCATACTCTTTGGAAATAATCCATTTCAGTCGTGAGGATATCTAGGCGGTCTAGCCAGTTTATGTTCGAGAGACCGTGGACTCCATGCTCATCCGGTCTTCAGCAACTCATGCTTGGCGTAAGGGGCAACTAACGGGATCGCGTAGTCAGAATCGCTGACTTGGTTTGATGCATTTCTTCGTGTCCCAGCTGTGTAGATAGATGCTGATGATTGTCATCACTGGATTTTGTCTGGTTCAGACTCGATTATTTACAACCGCCGTCGTGTAGCTGAAATATTACTGAGTGCGGTGTAAAACAACAAACACACAAACAAACAAAACTGTGTTACAATTCGTAAATTTGATGGCGTTTATTTGAACTTGAAGCGAATGCGCAGCTTTTGTCCGTTTGATAGTTTTAATAATAGTGTATTAACCCACGTTGCGATAAAGCCAGTTTGAATAGCACTGAGTATTTCTTCAGCTGTCTGATGTGCTCCACAATCCATTGTTTGTTTGCGTCAACTAAAGGCTTTGCTGCAAACGTCACATTAATACTTCAGATGTTGTTCTATGGCCAGTTCCACAAAGCGATGTTCGCGCTACAATGATCGAGAGCCTAAGTTAAAGCATATGCGGTACGATCATCTTAAAGCTAAGATCGCTTTGTTGAACGAAGCCCTGGTGTTAACCGTCATTGAAATCATCCCGCATCACACATGCAACATTTAAAAGTTTTGCATGACGTATCGGCTTTCTAAGAAAACATTTCCATTGGGTTTATCAAACAACCGGTGTTGTCATATTGTCCTAATCGGATACTTTTGGGTTAGGGGGCCCGTTGACTTATGTTATAAGGATGTGATGGATTGTTGTACTTGAATGAATTGTTGGGAAGAAAGAAAATGTGGGATGCTCTGCATTCTATTGGGCTGGGTGTTTATTAAGCACTGGGTCAAATTAAAACGTTTATACAGATGTACGTTGTGAAATCAATTATCTTGTTTATGCATATGTCAATCATTAAAACTCCTTCAACTTTTTTACACATTCGGAAAGTACGGCACAAGGATTCGTCTTTCAGAACAACATAAAAAATCAATTTTGTGGTTATTGACCAATGAATATGTTAGGTCTTTTTTTCAATATCATTTTACATTTCCAACTTTCATCGATACGTTATGATAGAAATATGATCTCACGTTTACGACAATACTTTGATACTACGTATACACTGTATCTAAACAAACGTGTGACAATACAAATCGATGATTGTCATTAAACAGGTGTTTTATTGCCGGTGTGGCCATCAACCCATGATATACCGTTGTCATATTCATATTGATGACAAGCTAACTCGATGTAGGTTAGAATACTACGATATACGACACAAATATCACAACATCCCGAGGGCAAATCATATGCCAAGGTAAGAACAAGCCAAAAGGTGAAGGCACCCATTAACATGTCAACGTGTTTTAGCAATAAAGCGTGGAAAACATTTTATCCAGTTAAGGACACCATATACCACTGATAATTTCATTCGTGGTAAGAGAACAAAAACTATATGTTCTGTCACTTCTTCAAGACACGAATATGTTTTTGATTAGAGTAACTGAACCCTTTTTCTCAAGACATCCATCACTACCCAGATGCTCATAACTCTGATGACATAGGTAAACCTGAGGTCAACTGTCAAGGTCATTACTTATGTGCGCCAGGAAGCCATCTGTGATGCGGATGTCCACGTACTCGTCCAGGATGTACGTCATCAGACTAATGTTGACGCCATGGTAACGTCGGGAGCGGTCAAACTGTTACACTACGTGTTATGTACGAAGCTGAGAACCGGGTTGACTAGGGCTTCTAACCTTGAACATGATGTTATAATTATTATAAACTGCCGGACAAAAGAAAGTATACGTTTGAAAATTGGATTTGACCAAACAATTACAAACGTTATCAAAACGTTAATAGACTGAAAACAGTCACCAAAACACTACAAACTTAAAGTACAAAACACAACTGTGATACCCGTATCAAATACATCACCAACGAGTAACCATTTCTTGTTTGTTTCATTTATATCCACCCTCAAACATGGGTGTATGTATTCTTTTACTTTGCATAGTCTGGACATATTCATGTGACTAACAACCATTTTTTTTTTTAACTTACAATCATTAGTTGGACTTATTGCATTATCTAGTACAGGCGTACATAACGTAAATGACAAAGGAAGACTAGCGACTTCAGTGACACAATATAGCGTGTGTTTAGTCCTTATTTACAACTTTTGAAAAACAGTATTATGTTTAGATATCAGAAATATTTGCTAATATCTGCTTTCGTGACTGAGATCCCTTTCGCAACAACGTTATCTGATGCAAAAGGTCCCAAATATGCAAGCGTTGATGGCAAATCTTATTCCCCTCCGCTTTCATAA